CTTCCACCGGGTCTTAATTGAAATGCGTCTTTTCTCACTCCTTGATTGCTTTTGTTACTTGCTCTTTGTGTGCCTCTGTTGTGGGCGCTGTGAATAATGGACGTCTGTGATGTTCAGATCCCCTTTCTGGTGCACGGACAACATAACTCACTAAATCAATTAGGAGGGACAAAGTGGTCACATAATCAACTACAATAACAAATGACAAGAAGTGAGAATGTATCAATACTTAACTGAAAACATTTACAAGGATAAATATTGGATTTACGTTTGTCAGAAACATGAATCCAAATGACTGCTTACATTACTGTCAGATGAATGGCCTGTTTTTTCTCCAATAAAGTGATAATATGTCAATGTTGTCTTAAAGAAGACATATTCTGCTCATTCTCAGGTTAATACTCATATTTAGTGTCTCTACTGTGACATGTCTCCATGCTTTAATGTTCAAAAAGCTCTTTATTTGTCTCATACTGCCTGTGCTGCAGCACCTCTTTTCACCCTCTGTCTGAAACCAGAGCCCAGTCTGCTCTGATTGGTTAGCTGTTGTGGTTGGTCAACTGCTAAGAGATGTCCCGTCACTTAGCCTATCTCATACAATGTGTTGGACCGATAGCCAATAGAAACGTGAGTGTTGCATACAGTAGTGATGTCATGAGGTTACTTAATTAACAAAGGGGTCCAAATAAAGGCACTTCAGGCAGGGAGGATCTTTGCAGACCGTTTACATGCACACAAAAACAATGTAACACACTACAGTTTCTCTGTCTTAATTAAAAAAAAAGGAACTAAGAAATAGATTTTCAAAACCCTTAAAACTACCAGCTTAAACCTCCATGTACGAAACTGTCAAAAAACTTCTGCGAAACCTAAAATACAATCAAGGCTTGCACTTGTTATCTTCCCCCACACACACACACACACACACACACACACACACACACACACACACACACACACACACACACACACACCACACACACACACACACACACACACACACACACACACACACACACACACACACACACACACACACACACACACACACACACACACACACACACACACACACACACACACACACACACACACACACACACACACACACACACACACAGAGAGAGAGATTAATCACTGCCCACGGTGTTGACCTCCCTCTGCCTGACATCAGATCAGGAGCGGGATACACATGTAATCCCCCGTATCTCCCTTACTTATCTCCCCCCGAATGAGAGATCCTCTCTATCTCTCACCACAGATGACCGGGGGATGTGTCGGTGGCGGGGGGGGTTCAGAACGTGCCTGAACACACACAAACGTTCATTTTCATAGACAAACAAACATCAAGGCACCCCAATTGCTCTGATGCTCTCTATCACTATCACCATATGATGTTTCCTGAAAATGAAAATGTTCTTTGAAAGTAAATGTGGTGTTGCTGCAGTGATTAAGCTTGTTATCAATGCACTGCTTGTTATTGGCCGGTGTGTGCAGCTAATAAACGTCACGTATGATTTGTCTGTCTGCGAGCAGGAGAATGCCGAGCGCTCTCTCCAACGTGAAAACACACACACACACACACATTTCAACCGTGTTTGACATTTAGGCCTATAACCATAATTGCTTTTCAAAACTCCAAAGGGTGTTGTTAGTACATTGTGTAGCGTTATCGCAGCACGATTGTAACCGTTATAGATGCACAGCACGCCAGCTTGGCTCTCACCCATGGAAACCCAGCGAGTGGAACATATTAATTATCATCCTTGGAGCTCATCTGCTTTCCTTTACTTTAGGAGTGATTTCAAAGAGAGAGAAAAAAGGCAAAATCGGCTTAACTTGGAAAAAGCAGAGCAATTAATTGTGATCTCATTTAATGAGCGCTCACTTTGCCGTGTTAATGTGTCTAATTACCAGTCAGACAGGAAGTGGTATTGACTTTGAATGGCTGCCACTAGACGTTGATGAAGGGGCTGATGGGTAAACACCACATGAGGATGTATAACAAGTGTTGGCAAATTCCACAGGCTCTTCTAGACCAGGGGTTCCCAAACTGGCGACCCCTGTCAACGGGGTGTTTTTTAGGATTTCAAGAAGCATATAGAACAAACAATGGATGTATTTTATGAACATTTATCCATGCTGAAAGTAGATTTAGATGTGTTAGGAGTGAGATAGAGATCATTATGTAATATATGCATCCGATGAAGCATTGCATGAAGTCTGTTGATGATCAGAGGCTGTTGTTGGGGCTGCATAAACGTTTTTTTATTTTTGTTTTGTAGGCAGACCATGCAGGCCTCAGAGAGTTAAACTTGGGCCTGCGACCATAGTTTTACTGTATTTTGAAAATCCACAGCGGAGATTTGTGTCATAGCTACTATGCGGTGTATTTTGCATATCTCTCAGTAGCCAACGATCTGTGAGTCTGTTGGCTCGGACATAAACTCCGTAATAAATGTAGTCTACATTTCATAAGAGGTGTAAAACCTGTGAGCATTTTAAATCGCATTTGAACTAAATGCTTATATAATCTGTAGTTGTATTTGCATTGTTGATTTATTGTGTGAACGAGGCGATGTAGAGAAGGTTAAGCTGTCATTATTAGGCTGTTATATACTGTTGGAGTGGTAAGCAGGTTAGGTGGTCCGTGAGTGTTTTTTTATTGGTTAAGTGTCCTTGGTATGAAAAAGTTTGAGAAACACTGCGCTAATGGATTGTCAACGGGGGGAGCCTCGCTGCGGGGAAATTGTACAGATGGCTAGTCCGGCCCTGAAACATTTGTATGCACACGTTATTATTAATATTTATTTAAAAAAAATGGATAAAAGAAATTGATAAAAAAATTTAAATGTTTTTTTTTTATTTTCAATTTTTATTTTGTAATCATCTCGTGACTCCCCACTCGGGGTCTTGCGACCCCCACTTTGGGAACCCCTGCTCTAGCTCATGAAGAGCTGCACAAACACACCTTCACACATAGGAAGGTATTACACACACACACACACATTCTATCACCGTTCTGATGCACTGATGTGTGCGCTACATACTAATTTACTTACATGTGTGTTGCAAATGCACACACACACGCTTAGTCAAACATTACTGATAGAAACTGTTGAAGACTGGAGGAGACCCTAGGCTCTGGAACACTCTGCCCCTCCATGTGAGGTCGGCCCAGACCCTAGGGGTTTTTAAATCTACCCTTAAGACACACTTCTTCTCCCTGGCCTTCTAGTCAGAGCGGAGCACGACTCGTGACTTTTCCCTGTGTTTTTTATATATCTGTTGTAATTTATTGTCTTTTATTGTGATTGTAGTAATGTGTTTTTATTACATGTACAGCACTTTGGCTCGACCAAAAATCGCTTTTAAATGTGCTTTATAAATAAAACTTGATTTGATTTGATTTGATTTGAGAATCTGCACTTCTTAAACCTCCGTGTCGTGAGTTTGCCATGTTTGACACACAATGTAAATTAGAAGGAAAAGTATACCAGTATGGTGCAGGACTCAAGAGAGGAGACTGTTATTATTCTTTGAAAATGGTTAAGAAAAGCCCGCTGACATCCAATTACTGCAACATTGTAATGTTACATAAGTCCAATGCTGCAGCACTGTGGCCCTCAGCTCAGATACACTTATGAAGTATGGTGATATAACAGCACATTTTCTATGCCTTTTATACCAATGCCTTATCTTTACACGGTAGCTCACCAAAATCAATAAGCAGGTCTTCTTAATGGCTGCATTGGATTTTTTGTATGTTAGAATCAATGTGCTGATTGATTTGAAAGGGATATAAATGACTAGATTAGCTGAACCCATGCATCCTTATCTAGTTAGTAATCTAGCCTCTTCTTTTCTGCCAAATCTCTGTTCAGCCAGGAAAACGACTTACAATCGACGGCCCGAGTGAAGACACAAAACCTTAAAACAAAGTTATATCATCAGACTGCTTTCTCTTCGTCAAGAGGTGGCTACATCACACCTGACCTGCCTCCAACTAAACCAATAACACTCATATCTTCACCGGCATTGCCTTCGTAGGTCTGACTCAATTCCCTCTCTGTGTTCTCCTGCAGAGAGGAAAATACTGAATGTACTCTTTCAATATCAGAGTACACATGATAACAAAGGTATCCCAACTGTAGCTGTGTACATGACAGGATGTCTGATTACCTAGAAGAGCATCAGGACTGTTTTAGGCATATGATAGCTATGTGATTAACATGATGATTCAGCCTCTATGGAGATACACATATGACAAGCATGCTCATTTCTGACGTGGAGCTAATCTGAAGTAAACATTGAATACTGCTTTCTATTCCTCCATCTTGTGACTGTGTAACTCCCTCTCTTGGATATCAGCATGTGAAGGACACTGTTCAGGAACTAGTTGATGCTCTGTATGTGATGACTACTTCCATTCTGGAGAGGATCAGAAATACATGGATCCTGAGATTGAAGCTCAAGCCGGTGACGAGTGATTATTAAAAATGTTAAGTATTCAGAAAGAGTCTGAATATTGTGATTTTTCGAAAAAGTCAGAACTTTGAGAAAAAGTCAGAATTTTTAGAAAAAGTCAGAATTTTTAGAAAAAGTCAGAATTTTTTGAAAAAGTCAGCATTTTGAGATATTGAGAAAAAAGCCAACATTTGGAGAAAAAACTCAGTATTTTGTACATGACAGGATGTATGATTACCTACAAGACCTGGTATTCCTCCAACTGTGTAACTCCCTCTCTTGTATATCAGCATGTGAAGGACACTGTTCAGGAACTAGTTGAACCAAATGCTCTGTATGTGATGACTACTTCCATTCTTGAGAGGATAATAAATACATGGATCCTGAAATTGAAACTCAAGCCGGTGACGAGTGAGATTTTTCAAACACATCTAAAAGAGGTTTTTCAAGTCTCGCTTTCCTCTGAGATGTTCTTATTCAGCAGTAGTGAAGGTGTTAGCAGAGAAATGTTTTCCTTGAAAGACAAAGCCTACCTTTGGTCGGCTCACAGCGCTTGGGCAGATCGATTGTGTCGTAGTTTTTGTCATTGTCACCGTTTTTCCTGCCTGAGTAGAGGAACAGGAAGGAAGTCAAAGTTAGTATTATATCCCAAATCAACTTTATTATATAGGCACCAGGGTTAGACCGATATGTGTTTTAAAAGACTGTTTTGAGTGAAGCTGCTTAAATTCAGTGGCTACATCCATTTTTATATTGCCATATTGGTCTAATCCAGGTCTTAACAACACACATCATGAATGTGTGTATGTGTACACAATGCAGAGAACTAGAAGCGTGATATGTTCAAACACACACGTACATGTCACACTGTCTGCTTTTTAACACACCAGCATGACGACAAAGATGAAATAAACTAACTGTATGAGTAAAAGGACACAAACACACATATAACTGCATACAACTTAGTTCAACAATCACATACAAACACTTAGCTACTGTAACAGTAATGCGGTCATCTCACATGCACATGGACTAACAGGGATATAAATTAGATGAAAAAGAAAACATCCAGTCACTAAATATGACCTGTGAAAATGCAGCACACAAACATGGCTTTCTTTAAGCTCCTCAAACTAATAGTTCAGCATTTTAAGAGAATACACTTACTTTCCTGAAGAGAGTTAAAGGATTTGATTAATGTCACTGTACTGTTGCTGTATGAAACACTACACTACACTACAGGCAGCAGGTGATTAGCTTAGGCTACATTAGTTAATGCACAGTGGTATTTATCTTCTCACCCAACTCTCATATTTTCACAAAATAACTACTCCTTTCGGACCAATTAGTGAAGAACTATTAAATATATAACCAGGCTGCTGTATATTCGTACAACTGGTGATACCTAGTTCCCATCATTGCACTCTCTATGAAAAGTTGTATGCCCTCCCTCGCTAATCAAAAATGGTATATGTTTATCTATTTAAGTGCTTTTAAACCAATTTAGATTTCTTCACTATTAAATATTGAGGTAGGGGCTCATCAACTGTGATCTAAGGACTGGATAAGACTTAAGGCTCCTCTGTTAGAAACAAGGAAAGACTCTTTTTAGAGATTTTGCTCTGGACCAGTACCTTAACCACACTTTAAATATGAATTCCCTGATAATCTAAGGACAATTTAGAAATAAGCTATTTACTCAGAAGGTATTTGAATGGAAATATCTAATTCAGGAATTGTTTCAACTAATGATGTTTGTGTTCAGTTTCTCATACTTACTTTTTATATATTCTGATTCCCTGTTTCTGTTTTCTGTATGTTGTTATTTTTGTAATGTAACCTATTTCAGGGGTGCACATAACTGGTACGCAGGTACGCGGCAAACATCTGAAATGCGTACCGTCACTTGTCTCACTGAGCCCATTTGCGTACCGGCGGACTTGTGAAGCATGTCCACTGGGCGAAAGTGCCGGTCGCTGTGCGCACAGACGGGGCTGCTGTTAACGACGGTGTGTTCAATACCACACATCCACCCCCCCCCCCCCCCCCGTTGACGTTCACGAAACAGACGGGCTGAACACATAACCTTGCGTGGGCAGCCCTGAGTACCAAACATTGTCTCCTGGTACTCATTTGAGTAACTCACGAAGAAAGTGATGTGCACGCCTGCCTATAGGCATCATTGAGGTGAATTGATTGGGTTTAAGCAACTGCATGTTTGCAGGGAAACACCTACATTGTAAGGATAACAACATGTGGCCCAAATCTTAGATATTGGAAGCTTCACTGCACTATTATCAACATCAGGAATCTATATTCTTCAAAGTCAAACACACACACACACCAACACACACACAACAGGGTCTGTAGCAGAGCTTGACATGTATGCTTAGACCCCACAAACAGATTGGAAGAGGGTTTAAGTTTGATTCAGACAAGATAATTTTTTTGTGTTTTAATGTTCATCTTTGACTCATTTGATTAGTCAAGCTCTGCTTATCATCCCGATAGACTTACCTGTTTCATCAAGTGCTGCCTTTACCTTTCACCTATCTTAGAGGAACAACTAATGATATAGGGGGGGGGGGGGGAGGGGATCTATAACACTCAGGTATAGGGAGGTGATTGGATGCATGTCAAATGATTGAGAAACCCACATTTTCTAAAGTTGTTGGAACTTTTCTTAGCTTTTGGAGGACACCCAAAACTATTTCTACGATATTCTACAGCCAGGGGGATGGAGGAGGAGGAGGAGGAGGAGGAGGAGGGCTAAAGTGAGAAGAGTTGAGGGGGGGCACTCACCTTGATTAAACCATTCCTCTATAGTAAGCCAAGGAAGCAGCGGCAATGCAAAAAACACAAAGCGGGGAGAAGAGAGAAGAGTCATGGTGAAAAAGACGTGTGCGTGTGTCAGGAAGCAGTGCAGCAAATGTGAACAGTTTGTACACAAATAAGTCATCTTTGAGTGAAGAGGTGGAAGAGACAACTGGAAATCAGAGAGCAAAGAGAGCACAAGGAGAAGCAGGACTTTTGAGAGAAGAGGCTAAATGGGAAACTATTAGCAGTCCAGAGGTGTTTTCTGAGAGTGGGGTGGCTTTTTAACAGAGAAGTGGAGACAGGAAAACAGCCCGAAAAAGTGTGAAACATAAACATATGAATACAGAATACGCAAGCAAAGGACACATACATGAAAAGGAGTCATTTTCATATAGAAGAAACGAATATGAAGTCACGGTGAAGCATATTCATAACAGCACTGAGAGTATTATGTGCGCTAAGAGACGGAAATAATAGCCTGTTTATTAACTAAAACAAAGCTTGAGAGAAAAGCGCCTGAAGGAAAGAGTAGTCAAGTAGCCAGAAAAGATTGTAGGCTAGCAATTTACTTAGAAAGAAAGGAAATAACAGCCGAGAATAAGCCTGTTTATCAGCTAAAGAAAGCTTGAGAAGACAAGAGAAGTAAAATAGCCAGAAAAGAGTGACACATAAATAAAAAGTGGAAAAATATGAATATAAGCCAACAAAGGAGAGACAGATTGGAGGGCAGTATAGACTCAAATTGAAGCATGTACGTAACAGCATTTGTATTAGTGTGTCTCTAAAATCACTGCCTGGGAAAAGAAGAACACAATGGCAGTAAAATAGCCAGAAAAGAGTGAATAAAAATGGGAAGTAATATGAATATAAGTTAGCAAAGGAGAGAAAGAGTAAAGACTGTGAAAGAAAATAATCAGCATTGTAAGATAAGAAGGCAGTATCAAAATAAAGCATATGCATTACATCACAGCACAGTAACAGAAATGTGTGCTAAGAGACGCTAACAACAGCCAAGAATCAGCCTGTTCGGCTACATTAGCATTGTAAGACGGGATATAGTCAAAGTGAAGCAGATACATAACATTGGTATACGTGCGTCATTTAATTCTGCCTGGAGAGAGCAGAAATACACGCTAAGACACAGAAATGAGAGCCACGCATCAGCCTGTTTATTAGCTAAAACAAAGCCTGAGCTGCTAAGCGCCAGTCGAGCGTAACGGTATATTTAATACTGAATGTGACATTAAACGAAAGAGCAGGCCAAACTTAGCCTACTTAAGGTAACAAATGACCCAGCGTTCTGCCGACAGAGCTGCTTAACTGCCCGCCTCCGCGCTCCTTTATAGCCGGGTTTAATGTTTCTGTACCTGAGCCTCGTTTCCTCACAGAACGCCTCGGGGCTGAGCAGCTAAACACATCTCATTATTCACAGCATGTGTGTGAGAGGAAGTATTTACGTGGTTAATTGGTCACTCTGTATATATACGCTGCGTGTCGTCCTGACCCCTGAACCGAAGGATTGTCCAATGAGGCGTTAGGAGTCGAGGGTCACCGGCTGGTAGTCACGCCTCATTGGCTGACTGATTAACGGCGGCCATTAAGGGTGCACAGCAGGGAAATAACGGTGTCGTTCAGGCTGGTGAATGCTGATTAAAGCGTCGCTAACAACACGTGCGTACACGGCACATCTGTTAAGAGAATAAATAACGGAGAAGGATCCCGACGCAGCAGACTGAAGACACAAAGGTCTCATCACTGTAGGGTTATGGTACTGTGACTGTAAACATACAAACTGCCTCGTCCTTAATGTTGGCAGCCACTGAAAACCTGTTTATTGCTTAAACTTGTTCCAATGTAAAAAGTACTTTGTATTTAAAGTGTTCATTTGTTACGGAATTTGTTAGTTAAAGTGCAGCGGTAGGTCTTTGATAACTTATAATCAGAATTGTATACAACAAAATGGTGGGAAAATATGGTTGACTTTGAATTGTTAATTGTAATTGACTAATTGAAGAGCGTAAACACATGTAAAAACTATAAAATATTTGTTTTCTGGATGACTCACCCAAATGATCAAACATTGTAACGTGTTTATGTATAATTTAAACCCTATTTGCATGACAATAAGTCTATATGCACATTACATTTTACAATTTACATTTCCTTTTTACATAGTCATTGTTAAAGGTGAATTGTATCAGCCCAGCACTCAGGGAAAACAAACAATGGACTCAAATATCGCTAAGAAAAGGAAAACAAAGGAGATAATGGTATCTCAGCAATACAGCTGTTTGAATAACTCGTCTGCTCTCCGTCCATTATGATCTCATCCTCAAGAGGCCATCAAAGTAAATGAAAAGAAGGCTAAAGAAACAATAATAAGGAATATTTTACATTTAAAAAGGAACTCAGTTTTTTCTGTTATGCAATAAAAATCACTAGTATGTATTCCAATTTGATACATTATTAAAATATGTATTAGCAGGTGTCTTATTGAAGAGGCAGAGATTTTGGAATATCTCCACTTTTCTGATCAGTGGTTATTATATCTCCTCCCTCTCCTTGTTTTCCATCACACTCACCTTTAGCCTTCTTCCCTCCGAAGCAGCCGGCGTCGTCCTTCTTCTTCCTCTGTGGCCCCGCTGAGCCGGGGGTCTGCGGCGCCGAGGGGTCCTGGAACCTCTCGGCGCCCGGCACCTCTTTGTGGACGTGATAGGACAGATTCCTCATGATGCACACACAGTTCTCCACAGACTAGGAGGTCAAAGAGACAGAGTTGTTGTCATTTTGTATAATTATATGAACTTTTTGCATTAAAGGTCCCCTATTATAGTGTTTTTCATCAATATATTACAGGTCTCAGATATATACAGAACATGTCTCTGATTGGCTGAAACACCAAACAGATCATTGCAGCATCCCATAATCCCCTCTGTTTCAGCCCTGTTTCCAAAGTGCTGATTCTCTGTCTGTTACTTTAGATGAAAAATAAGGAGCCCCTCCCCACGCCCCTCTGAGAGAGATTTGGTTAAAAAGAACGCAATGGTGCTCTAGGAGGAGATTCAGGTGATTAGGTGGGGGGGGGGGGGGGGGGGGGGGGGGGTTACCTTGGTTGGTGATTGGCTAATGGTTACACAAGCCAAAACATCGTTATGACATCATAAAGTGGCCAAAATCTGATCAGCTCATTTTCAGACAGGTTTTTATATAAATGGATCAGGACAAAAAGAGAGAGAATCTTTGTTCCTGAAACTTTCAGAATCTCTTCACACAGAGGGGACACATGTTGATATAGAAGAGACATGAAGAAGAGGGGACACATGTTGATGTAGAAGAGACATGAAGAAGAGGGGACACATGTTGATGTAGAAGAGACATGAAGAAGTGGATTTTGCACAATAGGTGACCTTTAAATATATGTGTTTGTTGAGTAAAAACGGCACCTTGTTGTCCATGTCTTTCTTCCCGACAGCTGATTGGAGGGCGTGCAGCAGGGCGTCCACCAATCCCTCGCATTCCCTCAGTCTGCGGCGAGCCTCGGCCCCGTCGGAGCTCACATTTCTGTAGAAAAGAAAGTCAGACAGGAACACCGTCAGTGAGCAGGAGAGAGGAATGTAGAGGAACAACAATCAGATTTAACCACACTGCAGGGATAGGATTCACCACACAGCTCTTTGGCCATTTCTGAAACTATTCGGCTGCAGATGATTAAGGTTGTGAGGGAAGATATGTTATACTTAAGATCGAGAATCCTTGAAAGTATATATACCATACGATGTAAGATTTCTATGGTATTTGAAGGGTTTTATTGTAGTTTCCAAGGATATATGTGGGCCACTAGTCATTATCTTAAATGTAATCAAATAAACAACCGAAATCCACTAAGCAGCACTACCATTACTCTTACTGTTAGTTGTGTGATTGTTTATTCAACTGCTAGTACTATTACTTAATAATGCAAGAAAGTAATACAAAAACTTACAACATAAAAAACAAAAAAGTTCTGAATGTGTGGGTGCATGTAAAACCTGTTTTTGATAGTGTTGTTTTTGTCACACAATGAAATCCTACTTTTTTTGTTTTACGGTTCCCACAGAAAGATATTTTTCAGACTGGATAACAATGACGTGCAGATATATAACCGTTGAATAAGACATTGAGATTTTTTTGGGTTCACACGTGACCCTTTATCCTTCCTGTCTGCCTCAAAAGTACAAAGCAATAAAAGCCAGACTGCTCAAGGAATAATCTTAAAAGAATGATGAATATAAATGTATTTCTTGCTACATGGGGAGATGCCATCCATGTTTCATCAGCCAGCGCTCTGAGCTCAGCTCCTTGAAACTCAGCACAGAGTTAGTGCTTCTGTGAGACTGAGTGTGAACGGAGAGGCTTTAAACCGAGTTAAAGGATAGTCGGGGCTCCCTGCTCCTCACCGGGGACTTCATTTATGAGGGCTCCAAACACACATAATCCCATTAGTCTAGTCATATGTCTTTCAGAGGTAAGCAGAGATACAGTGTGGCCTGAAACCCACATCACATCCAACTCTGCTATAGAGTGGTGCAGTGATGACGTATCTTTGTAGGCCGACCCGGAAGTAAGCTGCGCAAGGGTTCCCTCGACAATAAAGCAACGGGATTTCTCCATAGGCTTTTGGAATATTGTAAAAAATAAGATCTGTGGAAAACGGAGGCTGTGGCTCAGTGGATAGTGCGCTGAACTTTGAATCAGGGGGATAGCAAGTTCGAGTCCCACTGCAGTCAGCATGTCGTTGTGTCCCTGGGCAAGACACTTCACCCCAAATTGCTCCTGTGGGGATTGTCCACAGTATTGAGTATGTAAGTTGCTTTGGATACAAGCGTCTAACAAGTGACATGTAATGTAATAATGTACATTTTGTTCAGCCGGATAATATACACGTCTACCCTACTTTTATCATTTTCGAATCATAAATCTATTCGATAGATTTATGAAAATACGTCATCCCTGCACCACTCTATGTGAGGTTTCCAACAAGGAGACTTCTGTCAAGTGATTAATGAATGAATGTGAATGTATAGACCCACAACCAGGGGTCCCAGACATGTCATTTAGCTGAAGTTTTTATACAATGTGACTGACATACATCAATACTGTAGACATGCCTACAGGAGCAATTTGACATTTGAAAGAACATACATAACATTCATCTGTTTGCAACTCACATATATTGTATATATCAATATTGCAATTACTGCATATAGACTATTCTGCACAGTTTCTATCATATTCTGTTTAGATTATATTCTATTTTATTTTATTTACTGTGTTGCACTGTGGGAGGTCATTGTCATAACTACACTGTAGCTATGCACACATGACAATAAAAGCCTTGAAACCTTGAATTTGGGGTTAAGTATTTGAACAAACAAATGTGCCTACAAGTGCCGGGTATCAAACTACCGACTGATTGGGAGACGCCCTTTTAACCCCCGAGCTACAGCCACCCATATTATGGTTTATGATCCAAAATTGGGCCCCTCATTTCCCTACATTCACTACACGCATGAAACCTTCCTGAAACATAATTGTATAGGCCATAAGTCTGCGTAGATCATCAACATTTTTAAATGTTATCCTTTTCATCTACAGGACAAAGGGTATTTACCTAAAATCACACAATTGAAATAAATAACTTGATGTATTTTTTTATTCAAATCATTCTTTGATTTACACAAAACTTGCCATTTGTAGTCATCGGTTTTTTATTTTAAGTTATTATAATAATCTCCTTAGAGCTCGTATATGAGCGTTACACAGGTCATAACTCCCTCTGTCAAATCTTCATTATATTGTTGTGATAAATTCCCCTTAAAACAACAGGTTTCTCACCAAAAACTACATTTTACAAGATGACCTCTGTAGACATCATGATGATAACATTACTCATTATAAATTAAGAGAGCTTGAACACATCATTTTGTAACTCAGTGCAAAAGATATCAGGCTCTTCTCAAGCTATTTTGAACATGGATTTGTTGCTTACATGTAGCATAGACGTCTATTTTGTATTTAGACTGTATGTAAAACTCCATAAATATACAACCACATCACCTTATAATACAACAGACTGTCATCTTCATGCCCAGTGTGTGAGTATCTCAGCTGTTTATCAAAGAGACGCACAGAAGCAACAAGAAGTCAGTGCTAATTAAAACTAATCTTTGGAGGAGGGCCGGCAGTTGGCCTCTCTCATAAACTAAAGCCATCCGTCTTCAGCTGTCAGATATCGGTCACCACCTCCCCTGTAAATGGATCCAGAGTGGCGGCCGCACTGGATTTATGACAGCTGTGTGTTTCGGGGCAGACAGACAGAAGAGTTTTATTGTCAGCTGTTTCATTTCCAGGAGTCTTTCAGGGAGCAGTTGTCCTGGTCGGAGGTTTATGTGCGTCTGTCAGTGCAGAGTGAGCAGGTGGAGCTGTTGGCACTGGACAGGTTGGTGCTGTGATTTTAAGTGGAGGTCAAGGTACTGATGATGAGTATTGATCTTTCTGGTAGTTTACCATCTGTTGTAGTGATACTGCACATGTAGGTAACTTTATAATGTAATCAGATATCAGAAAACAATGTAAAAAATGTTTTAAATAAGCAGTCTACTCATGGTTTGTAACCTTAAAGGGGTCATACAGTATGATGCTACTTTCTGGTTAATATTAGTGTCTCTCCTGGGACATGTCTCCATGCTTTAATGTTCAAAAAGCTCTTTATTTCTCTCATACTGCCTGTGCTACAGCACCTCTTTTCACCGTCTGTCTGAAACCAGAGCCCAGTCTACTCTGATTGGTTAGCTGGCCGGCTCTGTTTTGATTGGTCAACCGCTTAGAGATGTCCCGCCCTTAGCCTATCACGTACAATGTGTTGGGGTGCTAGCCAATAGAAGTGCAAGTGTTACAAAGTGATGTCACTATGATAAGGAAGTAAACAAAGGAGTCCATCAGAGGCGTTTCAGGCATTTTATAATATTTGTTACACTTTTTTTGTGTCTACTGTATAGTCGGTATTTGCACCAAAACACACAATTTAAATGAATAGTAAATACTTGATTGGAATAGTTTTTTAAATATTTGCTTCGATTAAAAATTGGCAAAAGTAGTTTTGATTTTCATTCCCTGCCTGGAGGTAGTGTTGGAAGTTAAACAGGACATAATTACCTCTATTATATATTTTGTATATTACAAATGTACTTCAAACAATCGTTTTTAATTAAGTTTCTTGACAAAAACTACATTTTACAAGACCACATTTGAACACATCATGCCTTAAAAAATTGAGACTGACTTGTGAAAAAGTGGGTTTGAATTCAGAGGTCGGTCTGCACACACACGTCAATCTGCCATTGTGATCTAGATGTGCCTGTAGAAAGTGTGTGTGTGTGTGTGTGTGTGTGTGTGTGTGTGTGTGTGTGTGTGTGTGTGTGTGTGTGTGTGTGTGTTATCAGATGGAGGGTGGGTGTGAAGGTCGCTGTGAGTCATGTGGCCATCAGAGGACAATAGAGCAGCTGGGACAAAGAGACTGGAGCAGGACTGATGGGGACTGATGGGGACTGATGGAGATGGATGGAGACGGATCTGACCTCTGCTAGCGCTCTGCAAGGTCAACGGCACAACTCTGAAGGAGCATGTGTGGTCCTCCTTTACGTATCATTGATCCTGATTTAATTTCTGATTCATCTAATGGATGCTGTGTCTTATCATATCCTTGTGCAAAGTCTGCTCTTATTAGCAGAGTAGGAAAACAGACTTAAACATGGGTAAGGACAAACTCCTGCTAAATATATAATAAATAATATTCTCAGCAGATTTACACCACTTGAAACTGACATTGTATTGCATTTCCTTGTAGTTCTGAGTATGTATCTTTATGGTTTATTGCACTTATTGTAAGTAGCTGTGGATAAAAGCGTCAGCTAAATTAAATGTATCATAGTCGTAGGAATGTTTTACCGAAGACATTGCAAAAGACTGGTTAAAATACGGCTAAAATGGGGCTGCATAATTTGGGAACCATGTACTAATTGGGATCTTTTTGACAGATTGCTTTGCTTCACATCATCTCGTTTGAAATCATATTCATTATAATCATTATTTTGCCCTAATAAAACAGTAATAATGGCATTTAAGGTCATTTTTAGAGAGCACAAAACTGCAGTAGTTGCTGGTTTATGTTGGGAAGTAAATCAAAGTAGCTGTTTTCTATCTCGTCCGTGCTTGTCGCCATTTTTGTTGCAATTGTCACCATTGTTCTGTCCACAATGTCAATCATATCTATAAAGCTCTAATTGGATTAGAGTCAACAATAAGCAGAAACCCAAACAATAATTCATTTTTAGTTTGAGGTGAAACAATGGTATAGGAAAAGCTTTGTTATTTGAAATGTTGAATGGATCTGATTAACTCTGTTTTGTCCTTGTTCTTATTATTAATGTATTTTTTTCTGGGTCGGAGCTGGACTTTTCATCTCATCATACATGTTGTATCTCTTGCCTATACTTACAAAGACCCTTACTCCTTCTTGTCTT